ATATATACATATATATATGTATATGAATATGATACAAAATCATTATATGTGAATCATGCGTCCAAAATCATCCCTCTTTATTAACTATAAGAGCTTGTTACATAATCATTTCACAAAGTAAAAAATATATACGAAATATAATTAAATAAAAAACATAATGTACTTTTCTGCAAAATCGACTCGATACAAGATCAAAGATGCATAATAATAATAATAATAATAATAATAATATAAACTAAATAATTGAAGTAATTAACAGGTAAAAAAATAATAAATAAATAATTAAATGTAACTTAACATTAATGTACTTTTCTGCAAAATCAACTCGATGCAAGATAAAAAATGCATAGAAATAATAATATATAAAGCAAATAATAATAATTATTTAAAATGGATAATAATGTAATTAACATATATATATATATATATTATGATGTATAATTCAATCAATTTTATTTATATTCTATTTCATAATAATAATTTTTTATTTTTACTTGTAAAAGAATCATAAAACTAGTAACTGAAATATATAGAATTATTTTAGAATAATTGTAATTTTATATTTATGTTATACTTTTGTTTTTAGTCAATTAAAATTCAAATTAAATTTAAATTTTTTCTATACACCCAAATTATTTGCCAGCAAAAAATTTGAATTTAAATTAAATTAATTTTTAGATAATAAAATTAATTTAAATCGAGATAGTTGTAATATTAAAAATCCAAAATATTATTTTTTTATATTTTTGTATTATTTGAACATTTAAAAACCAGATATGTTAAAAACAATAGCCCGCACCATTTTCTGCGAAACTGTAAGTTGGATTCAATTTGAAGTGTTTAGACAGAAACCGTTAACTCCTGTTGATTTCCTTCGTGCCCACAAAAAGCTACATGCTCGATGTTCTCTCACGCGCTCTCCGCTTCTTAACGACGTCTACCACGTCTATGCATACACCTACAAACGCCCCCACGCAAAACCACCCTAATCTTTTACTATCATTCCTTCCAACGAACTCTCTCCATTCTGCAAAAACCCTAACCCTAACATAACCAATTAAATGAATCGTTCTTGAATTTGGAATCAAAGTGCTTGCTTTCTATCGATTCTCGATGGATTCCCAACAGAGCAACCTCTTCGAAACGGCATCGCAGCCCGACACCGCCACTGACGCGTACACCTTCCTCGAATTCAACACACAGGGCGAATCCGACTTCGACTACACAGAGTTCCGCTCCTCTGTGGCATGGCCCACCCCCTCAGACTCCCTTTCCGTTGCTGACCCCAGCGATCGTGGTGGAGGGACCGGAGGCGGCCCCACTAGTGCATCAGATCACCAGTCCGATGCGGCGTCTTCATCTCCGGTCTCCTCATCAGCCCCTGGTAGCGCCACTAAGGGCGGACGCGGCGGGGCTGGCGGAGGAGCCAATAATAGCCCAGCGGCGGTCGATGCTCTTGCAGCAGGAATGAGCGGGTTGAACTTTGAGGAAACTGGCGATGATGATGGATACGAGTATGGAAAGGCGGATTTCACAGAGCACGCTTGTAGATACTGCGGGGTTTCAAACCCAGCTTGCGTGGTAAGGTGCAACGTGCCGTCTTGCAGGAAGTGGTTTTGTAATTCAAGGGGGAACACCTCTGGTTCGCATATAGTCAATCATCTGGTGAGTCACTGACTGATTTAGTGTGATATATTCCATCTTTTTATGGTGGTGTCAGTTCTGTCGGATTTAGTAAATTCTAGTTATAGAAATAACTCAAATTCTTGGAAATCTATTCATGAATCGGGGGTCATTATACATTTCTCTGAGAAGGCTCAGAGGTTAGTTTCATGCTCTTAATTTCATGCTATTATGTCCTCAGGCTCAGTGGTTTATCTAGTGATAGTACATGGTACAGACCACCATATTTTATAAATTTAAGGTGTTATGGTAAGTTCCGTCTGTACGTTCTCTCGATTTTGGATTTCAGTGAACATGTTTTGGTTGGAGTGCATTCTTTTACTCAGTCAAACCCAGTTGTTTTTTATTTATTCTTCTGATCATATAAATGATTAGATGATCTAAATGAAGTGAATGCAATAATATCAACGAGAAATTTAGAGTTTTGTTCTAAGAACTAGTGGTGCTCCAAAGCGGAAGGAGCAAGCGAGGGGTTAATTCAAAGGGCTTTATCTGGTCTAGAACATGCCCCTCTCCTATTCGTGATAGGGTTCTATTCCAAACGTGAGATCCCAGTGAATGTGATGAAAATGTGATTACGCCCTCATGAAGCTAGGATGCTACTTAGTATTTAGATCGAAGGGAGGAGGAGGAAGTGAAAAAGGCCAAAACGGCACTCCTGCTAAGTACCTTGTGCATTTATCACAAGAATTAGCGATTTGCGAGTTCTGTGAATGATGGAAGTTTGCTGGCTCTACCATAGGAAGGTAAAACCAACCCATGGATCCAATCCTTGAATGTGGCCCCTATCTCTAATCAAGAGTCATTCAATCAACTCAATCCTGTAATTATTTTGACAACATCAGTGCAAGGACTGTTGGAAAAAGAGCTTTAAGAGAGGATATAATGCAAGAGAGAGTGCTCCACCTATAGAGCAAATCGGGTTATTAGTGTAGGCTAGATTAACTATTTAGAATCAAGCGGCAACAAGTGAGTCAAGGGCCGAGGGAAGAAGAAGACAGACATATTCAAGAGATAGGCACATGCACCCTCGCCTCGAAGAAACTAACAGACTCTTCAACAACATGCTGCAATCAATCCCATTCCAAAAGGGAACAAATCCAGGCAGTTATATCGGTGATTGGGTCACCAAGCAAGCAGATGGTCCTGCATTAGCCATTACAATGACTACATTTGACCTTTCCATATTTCGGAGCTGGAAGAAAGGGTCCTTCTCAATGGAAATGAAATTGCAAAAATCTCCATTTCCAGTAAATCTTTGGAGTTGAACGCTTATCTCTTCTTTCCTATAAGTGAATTACTTTTCAAAAATCTTTAATACAGGCATATACTCCTTATCAACTATCAAGGGTGTAGCTAATTAGTTCAAAACGACCAAGAAGAATGAGTGTGTTTTCTATTTTCTCTTCATCTTTCTGATGCTTTTAATAGTGTTATTTCAAATTTAATAATAATAAACTTTACTTGTTACAGCTATATTGGCATTTTGTACTACAAATTTTACTTATTGTCCACAGTGAATGGTAAACTTTGAAAGTTGATTGGCTATTTAAGTTAAACTAATACTTCATCAAACTAAAGGCACAAGTATTTCTACCTTTTTTTTTGAAATAGAAAAGATATTGCTAATAGAGAAGAGGTACAAAAGCAGAGGATAAGAAATTCTCCTAGGTGAACAAAAAGAAGTAAAAAATGAAAGAAATACATAAAAATCAAAACAACTAAAAAGGAAATAAGTGTTTCTAATTGGTTTAGTATTCAAGAAAAAGGATAAAATTCTTATATTCTTTGATTTTCCTATTGAATAGTTGACAACTATGACTAGGTTTAACTTTTAGCGTTGTCTGGGGGAAGAGAAGAAATAGAATTGAATAAAAAATTATTGAGATAAAATATTTTAACTTTATTTGGGATACCATTTCATAATGAAATGTAAGGGGAATGGGGGAGAAATCTTTTACTCCCATTCCCTCCAAGTATTAATATCATCTCCTTATGAGATAACAGATGAGATGAATGGGCATAGTGATGAAATAACATTATTTTTTAGTACAACTTAGACTTTTTTTGGAGACAATCAATTAAACTGTTTCCTTATTATATTATATTCTATATCACTTGCTATCTAAATTCTTTCCAAAAAAAAAAAGCCTTACTATCTAAATAAAATATATATTTTTTTCATTTATTTTTATCACTATGCATCTAAATGAAGGTAAGTATTTGTGTTTAATTGTGACCTATTCCACTCCATTCTACTTTTGTGCCTCTCTTCCCCTCTACCAAATGAAGCTTTAAATATGCGCCAGAGTTTTGCCTGAAATTATAGGCCATGCTAAAAATGGTATTAAAAAATTATAAGCTTGAACTTTGCTGAGAATTGTTTCAATAGATTTTAGAGTTTTGCTTCGAGGTCAAGGAAAAAGTCAGCAAATTATATCCACATTTTGTTTCTTATTCCTGATAATTATTACTTGCTATATTCCTGCAAAAGAATTATTACCTGATATATGTAGTTGTAAAAAACTTTGTATCTGAGGCTGTTATTGTGAAATCATTGTATGAATCTAGGGTGCAAACTTGTTTTGTTTATTTTTGCCTGCCTTATGAGGACCGGTCAATATGAGAGGTGTTCTGGATTTACAGACTGTGTTTTGGAAATGACCATAAAAACTATTAATATCCTGTGGATTCATAAATTGAATCTTTTAATCACTTTTTTTCATGGTTGATTCTGTAACATTTACTTCTTGTTGTCCATTATCTTTTTCACTTTTCATTCTTTCAGTTTATTTATCTGTTCAAACCCAATTCTTCTAAATTTTGTTATAGAGTAAGATTAATACAAACTTTTTGTAGTTATTGATGGTAAGGCTAAAATGGACCAGACTATTGTGTCAACAAAAAAATTGATTAATCTGCTTTTCCACATTCTATTTTTGTGCTTGCTCTTTCATACTTGAGTTGAACCATTGATTTCTTTTGCTTCAAGAGTTATATGTGCAATTCGCTGTTAGTACATGATCTCTGTATAACAACATCATTTCCATTTTGTTGGTGGATCAAGAACAAGATTATCCACTAGGACGGGTCTTGTACGTGTTCTAAAATAGTTTGTGTTCTCTTTCCTTCAAGGTTCGAGCAAAGCACAAGGAAGTATGTCTTCATAAGGACAGTCCTCTGGGGGAGACAATTCTTGAATGCTATAATTGTGGGTGCCGAAATGTTTTTCTTCTTGGTTTTATATCAGCCAAAACAGAGAGTGTTGTTGTTCTTCTGTGTCGAGAACCTTGCTTGAATGTTAATGCACTGAAGGATATGAACTGGGACCTCAGTCAATGGTGTCCCCTAATTGATGACAGGTGTTTCTTACAATGGCTTGTGAAGGTAGGTATCCTTTTCCATTTTTAGTCTGAATTATTAGGTTTTCTCTTAATTTGCTAAATGCAATGTTTTTTGCAGGTCCCATCTGAACAGGAGCAGCTGAGGGCGCGGCAAATAAGTGCTCAACAAATAAATAAGGTGGAAGAACTTTGGAAGACGAATCCTGATGCTACTCTTGAAGATCTTGAGAAACCTGGTGTAGATGATGAACCTCAGCCTGTGGCATTGAAATATGAAGATGCATACCAGGTACCTGCGATACTTGAAATTGGACAAATTAGTTTTACGTCATCATATGAAAAGACATCTGGTAAACTTACCTTTTAAAGAGAAATTTAAAATTTTGTTGAAGTTGGTTCTTGGAAATATTATAGGTAGTGAATTTTGCATGTGGAAAATAATGGAATAAACTTGCCACGAAATCCTGCAGTTGCTCGTGAAACAAAATTGACAGTTTACTTGTTGATGAAAATTAGCCTGGGAGCAGATAACTGTGATAATTTATGCCTTGGATTACTACGGTGGCAGAAGTTAACACATGGTCGTTGATACCCAAATTGTAGATGACCTTGTGATGGTGATTGTCATTATTGTATGGCTTGATTAAATTTCTCATAAATAGTTTTTTCCTATCCTGAGAATTATTAATTGAAACTATCTATAATTTCATATTAATCTTAAGTAGCAGAAATAATTAAATCAAACTAATAAAAATTTAAAATAGAGAAATATTGTACTAATTTTCTTACTAAATAAGAATCTTTTTTAATTTCCGCTCATCCAAATATAAATTCAATTGCATTATTCAAATCAAATTATTTGTGTAGAAATATTCATACATACACAGCCTGTTGCAATGCTTGCATGACCTGCAAGTATGGTTGTTCACGCATATGGTGGACTATTGACACCAAGGGTCTTGTTGATCTGAAATGGAGGATAGTCAAGGTGTCATTGAGCATCCTTTGGTGCCATTACTGCTGTATGTGAAACAGGAATCATCAGGGATTGACTGTACTTAAAAAGTGTTGAGTTCTTTTGATTGACAGAAAAAGTCATTGTCGATGTTTTGTGAATGTGACCGTAGCTAAGATCTCACCAATAGCACATATGTGAGATTTACTTTATTGAAAGTTATGCTGCTGCTTTTCTTGTAAGGAGATCCATTCAGTGTTGATGGTGGTGAAATTCAGCACTTCTTAAGAATATTCTCCAAGAGCAGTACTTTGATAACTAATTTTAGAATTTCCCCAAAATTAAGTTGCAGCTGTTTGCTAATAACTTTTGATTTTCTTCTTTTTTTCTTGCAGTATCAAAATGTATTGCGCCACTTATTAAGCTTGAAGCTGACTATGATAAAGTATGACTCTCAAAATTCTCTTTGTTGGTTTATATCTTTTAGGTTCTTAATTTTTAATGCTCTTCACCTATGATCTTTAGATTTTGCAACATTAATGTATTCCATTTTTTTCTATAGATGATGAAAGAATCTCAAAGTAAGGACAATGTCACAATTAGGTGGGATATTGGTCTGAACAAGAAGCGAATAGCATACTTTGTCTTCCCGAAGGTGCGTACTGTGGTTTTTGGGTCTTATCCAAATTTCTATAATTACACATCATAGGTCAACTTTTCTTTTTGGTGTCCTTTAGGAGGATAATGAATTACGTTTAGTACCTGGAGACGAGTTGCGGCTGCGTTATTCAGGAGATGCAGCTCATCCAGCATGGCAATCTGTTGGGCATGTGGTATGTATGCATCCTTGTGATTTAGATTGTAGGGGTTGCATATTTATCTTTATAATTGTTCATTTCGGATTTGATGTTTTACTAGCAGGAAACAATGATTGAACAATCTTAGTTTCCTTAAAAGATTTCTTTTTAATGACAAAGCCCCTTCTGAAGATTATACTTCAAACAAAACTTCTTCATGAGTATCTCAATTTGTTTTGCTTCAGATCAAGCTAACTGCACAAGAGGAAGTTGCTCTAGAGCTTCGTGCTAGTCAGGTAGGTTTCCGATTAGTATGCTTATGCTTAGTTTTTTGATCTTAGCCTTCTGAAGCCAATGTTTATACTGGGCTAACCTTTTACCTTTTTATGCAGGGGGTACCTGTTGATGTCAACCATGGGTTCAGTGTTGATTTTGTGTGGAAGAGCACAAGCTTTGATCGGATGCAGGGTGCAATGAAAACATTTGCTGTGGATGAAACAAGTGTTAGTGGGTAGGTTGACTGTTTAAATTTCACATGTGTTTCTTGGTTGTGCTTGTTTTGACGATTATTCATGTTTTTGTCCAATATAACTTTTATTTCTTTATGTTGAATGCTGCCTTTGGTTATTCTTTAAAAAGGTTGTCAACTTGTCTATTCGGCATGTAATGTACTTCTTGCTGAATTTTTTGTACAACTGTTTTGCTTCCATTTCCTTTTTGTGGTGCTCGCTGCTCCTTTTTTTAGTTAGAAGGTGGAGTTAAGAGGCTTTTGTAACGATTCATGCTATAACGAAGAGATAAGAAAGTGATGCAAAATGGAGGAAAGATATTTCCCCTGTATCATCCCCAAGGCCAAAGAAAAAAACAAGACACTGAAAGGAAAAGGAAACTCAATAGACAAGTTCCTGTTATTTTGTGTAAAATAGCTAAAAAGAACTAATTTGTTCCTTTCCAAGAACAACAGTGCCAAGCCTGCAAATGGATTTTTACTTTGTGCTGTAAATACCCAGGTCTTTTGGCTTGAAAATTTGCTGACCAATTAAATTGTTGAGAAACAATTATTTAATATTGGACTACATGTTATTTATTCTGTATGAAATGAGCCATGATCGATGTTATGGCTGGTATTGTAACCTTAAACCAGCTTTGAGCCTAAAGTTTGGCCGGAATTCACCCCTGCACAAAATGTAATTCAGCCTGCCTATGATCTTGAGTGTAGGGTAGTTATCCGGTTGATTTAACTCTTCTTTCCTTTGTTCTAGTTATCTGACTGTAGAGAGTTCTTTTTGAAGAATATATAGATATTTGTTTAATGTGAACTAGATATGCTTTAATAGGTAATTTTATTCTTTTCTGCAGGTATATTTACCACCATTTGCTGGGTCATGAAGTGGAGGTTCAGATGGTTCGGAATACCTTACCTCGTCGCTTTGGTGCACCTGGTCTTCCAGAGTTGAATGCATCTCAAGTATACAACCTTGAATATGTTCCCATAAGTTTGTTTTATGCATCTCAACATGCTTTCCTCTTATCTGGGAAATTTCTCTCTTATATTTTGTTTACCTCTATGTGCCAGTGTCTATTCTTGCACGGAGAAATTTTTAGATGGGTTTGCATACAATTGAGTTGTTCTTGCCTTTACTCTTAGGTTTTTGCTGTGAAGAGTGTCCTTCAGAAGCCAATAAGTTTGATTCAAGGTCCTCCTGGAACAGGCAAAACTGTGACTTCTGCAGCAATTGTATATCACATGGCCAAACAGGGACAGGGACAGGTTAGACTAGTGACACTTCTTTTGGTTCTTTCTAATTAAATTTCTTTGAATTATATTCCACAAAAAAGTTTAAGGTTGTCTGCCGTTTTTGATAAAGTTATGGATCATTGATTCTGGACCTCTATCCTTTCTTGTGCTCTATCCAATACTTCTGTTAAATATCTCGTGTTCATGGGTGGCATCCACTTGGTGCCTTGTCATATAAAAAAGTATTGGAATTACCTCACTCACGTTTACACTTTTTTCATTGTTTATCAGGTTTTGGTTTGTGCCCCGAGTAATGTGGCTGTAGACCAACTAGCTGAAAAGATAAGTGCCACTGGGTTGAAGGTAAAGAAATGGAGCTCTAACTGTAGTTGTATCTTATCACCATTTGTTATTGAAGCAATTATATACTGGCATATTCGCATAAAAAGTGAATGCTTAAATTAAAGGCTGGTTTTTTCATTTATTCATGAACAAATATAAATTTAATACTATACTAAATTTCTTTCCTATACTTGCAAATGTTTATTTTTGCTTGCTTGTACTGACTTTTATTTTTCAATAATAAATTGACTTAAGGTTGTCCGGCTTTGTGCAAAATCAAGGGAAGCTGTCAGTTCCCCTGTTGAGCATTTGACACTTCATTATCAGGTTTGCCAATATTCTATCAGCTAATTTCCTTTGATTTCCTTTTTTCCTGGCAAAATTCTTATTGATGGCTTGTTGCAGGTTCGGCATCTTGATACATCTGAGAAGAGTGAACTTCATAAGCTACAGCAGTTGAAAGATGAGCAAGGTAATTAATGGTTCAATAATATATTGGATTTAGGATATATTAGTTAATTTGGGTAATGGATTGGATGTTCCCTTAAGTGGATGGAATTATTCCAATTGGAGCATGATCTTTTTTCTTTGTGAAAGGTGGGTGATAGATCAAATATCAGAAAATGTTGTGAAAAAACTGTAATCCTCAAGTGATAGTACGGTGGTTAGTTGTGACTTCCAGGCAAGAATGGTAGTTGCTACAATCCATTGTTTCACTTCTGATATTGCTTGATTTCTTTTAAGTTTGTTCCATTCTTGTACTGGGTGCTGGAAAGGAGGCAGAAAGCACTAGTCTTCTCCATATTGTTATGTTATGACTTAATAACCTATGCATTGTCTTAAAATTATCCTGACCCTCTAATTCTTTCTTAGACAAGGTATTAGGGCTGGCTTTGAAGTTTTACCATGGACTATTTGTTGTATTTCTTCTTAACAGATGTTGTCTACCTTTTTGAATGAAAAAAATTTCAGGAGAGTTATCCAGCAGTGATGAGAAAAAATACAAAGCACTAAAGCGGGCAACTGAGAGGGAGATATCCCAGAGTGCTGATGTCATCTGCTGCACTTGTGTTGGTGCTGGAGATCCTCGGTTGTCAAATTTTAGGTTTCGCCAGGTTAGAAACCTCTTTGGCTAATGATTGGTGATTGAATAACTCAGTAGCCTTACAGTATCTCTCATACTTCAGGTACTTATTGATGAGTCTACTCAGGCAATGGAGCCTGAGTGTCTTATTCCTCTGGTTCTTGGGGCAAAGCAGGTAAACAGAGACGGATATAATTACAGATCTAATCTGAAATCTCACCTTCTGACAAGAAAAGTTTCCTGTGTTAGGTTGTTCTTGTTGGTGATCATTGCCAACTTGGTCCAGTCATCATGTGTAAGAAAGCTGCTCGTGCTGGTCTTGCACAGTCTTTATTTGAACGTCTTGTTCTACTTGGTGTAAAGCCAATTAGGTTGCAGGTAATTATGTTGATAAGTTTAGTTGCACTTTGGGCATAGGCCACTTGTGAGGGAAGAAGGATGGACCTTTGGCATACATGTTTCTGTTCTTTATCTGATTTAATATTGAATCACAACATGTGCAATATGATTTAAGTAAACGTATTTATTGATGAATCTTGTATGATAATATGTAATGTGATGCCGTCATAAAATTATTCACGTTATAAATTGCTATTTTCAGATAAATCACAACTTGCAATTGCCTATGGCATTGATCTATTTAAATTTTTACTGCTATTTTTTTTTTTTGAAAAAGTATAATTTAAATTCCTAACACTATTTGGAAGCTCATTATGTTCTTGATGGGCTTATAGTGGTTGTCTGAAGATGCGAAGCTGTAATTTTATGTTGTAGTAAAAGTTATAGGGATGAAGTGACAAGTCTTAAGCAATTCTAATATAATTCTTAGTTTCTGTTCTGTGTTTCCAAATGGACATACTTGTTGCTTTGTCAATATTATTGCTTTACTTTAAAAAAAGCTGTTGTTCTGCACCTGAAAAATTTATGGAACTATTGAGATATATGTTCTGCTCTTTATTTTTCAGGTTCAGTACCGTATGCACCCAGCTTTATCTGAATTTCCTTCTAATAGCTTTTATGAAAGAACGTTACAAATGGGGTTACAGTCAATGAAAGGCAATCTCGGGCATTGATTTTCCCCTGGCCTGTGCCTAACCGTCCCATGTTCTTTTATGTCCAGGTATTATAACTGTATGAAGTAACCATATAAAAAGCTTTTACTTTGGAGGTGACAAATTTTGGATGCTTTTTCTAGTTTGGTAACTGATGGTTGAAGGTCACCCCTTTATGCTTAATTTGCTTGCTCAAAGCAAATTTTTGGTCCTTACATGCAAAAGGGAAAGTTTAGCATGTGCCTGGTTATTTCTTTTTCTTCTTTCCATGGTTATATATCTCATAATTTTTTTAAATTATGTCTAAATGTTTTTATGTTCAATTATGTGGTATAGTTTTGGTATTTTGATTTTACGTTTATGAGGTTACATCTCTTAATTTTTTGCTTGTTCTCAGTTGGGGCAAGAGGAGATTAGTGCTAGTGGAACATCCTACTTGAATCGAACAGAGGCTGCAAATGTTGAAAAAATTGTGACTACTTTCTTAAGGAGTGGCGTGGTTCCAAGTCAGGTAACTGGGCTGAACGTCTCTAGTTAGTTCTAAATGGAGTTTCCTGTTATGTTTATGATGATTATTTTTTTTTAAATTTAGATTGGAGTAATAACCCCATATGAGGGACAGAGAGCATATATTGTCAATTACATGTCAAGAAATGGTGCTCTCAGACAACAACTCTACAAGGAAATTGAGGTAATAGTTTAAAAAATTTTGAAACTCGAGGTTTGGATGCCTATCTGATGCATGTTTCCTTTGCCAAATACTTCATGATGTCCTTAGGTTGCCAGTGTTGATTCATTTCAAGGAAGGGAAAAAGACTACATTATTTTGTCCTGTGTGAGGAGTAATGAACATCAGGTAGGTTGATTTTCTGTTAATTAAATATCTAGTTTTGTAGAGTTCTTTAGCAGTTTAACCTGGCTAGAAAGTTCATATCCGTTGAGAAGCATTTCTTATCTGGAGGAATGTGAACTTGCTTTGATGTATAATTTCCTGTCATTTCTATTGTCACATGGTTTTGGTGTTTTTCAATTTGTGATATAATAAGTTGGTGTATAACTGGTGAATCCTTCCTTTTAGGGCATTGGGTTTCTTAATGATCCCCGCAGGCTAAATGTTGCTCTAACGCGTGCTCGATATGGTATAGTTATCCTGGGAAATCCTAAAGTTCTAAGCAAACAACCTCTATGGAATAGCTTATTGACACACTATAAGGTACTTTTCATCTTTTTAAAGTTTCAAGTTTTTTCTTATTGGACATGTATGCCACGATCTGCCATCTTATCTGGAAAAAGAAAGCTAACCAGCTTGTTGGACAACCTTGAAGTATTTTGTTGTAATGGTGGGAGGTGCTATTAGAGCACAACTTACGTGAAGATGAATGTTTGGAGACTGATTTTACTTCCTCGCTATTTTATTTTTAGTTTTTCGTTTTGTGTTTAATACCTTATGTGTCATACATCTACCTTCAGGAACATGAGTGTTTGGTTGAAGGACCTCTAAATAATTTGAAGCAGAGCATGGTTCAGTTCCAGAAGCCAAAAAAGGTACAAATGATGTTGTGATTAATCTACCTTTCACAATGTGGCTATATGCTTTGAAATAATGTTAGTTTATCTGGACAGTGCTCTTATCACCTTTTCTATCTGTATTTATAACAAAGCAGCTATTGAAAATGCATTTTATATTGTTTTCTCATATTTTTGGACAGATTTACAACGAACGTAGACTTTTCTTTGGTAGTGGACCTGGAATTATCCCCAACGATAATTTTGGTTCTGTTGCATCATCTAACCCAAATGCTGATAGAAGAAGCAGTCGTGGTAGGGGTATGTACTTACTAGTCATCATGAACTAAAAATCAGTTACACCAGTTCATAGACGTCTTATATTCATGATTTTGCATCTTTAGTTTTTTAGGACCATGCATGATCATATTCATAGCAGCATATTCATGGTTTTTTTAGAAAAAAAGTTATGATGTTTTTCTCCTTTCTGGGGTGTGTTACAGGTTCTTATATGCCACCTGGCCCACCCAATGGTACTCATAAACCTGGAGTTCATACTGCTGGCTTTCCAATGCCTCGGGTACCCCTACCGCCATTCCCTGGCGGTCCTCCTTCCCAGCCATATGCCATTCCGACTCGTGGAGTTCATGGACCAGTTGGAGCTGTTCCTCATGTGCCTGCACCAGGAAGTCGGGGTTTTGGTGCTGGTCGTGGTAATGCTGGCGGCGCTCCTATTGGCAGTCATCTCCCTCACCAGCAAGGCAGTCAGCAGAATGTGGGAACTATCGGGTCGAACTTCAACTTTCCTGCACTGGATAATCCAAACAGCCAACCTTCTGTAGCTGGTCCACTCTCTCAACCTGGATTTGTTAATAATGTCAGTAATTTCTTTTGTTCTCTTCTCCTTGTAACCTTTTAGTTTCTAAACCTTTACATGCCATGAAGTTATACTGCACTCAAATTATGTTTAATCTACTTGATAGATGCCGGTTCAAGGACCGAGCCAAACATTTCGTGACGGATTCTCCATGGGGGGCATGTCTCAGGTATTTTTTTTCTCTTTGTACCTTCAACTTATGTACTTTTTGCTTGTTTATAAATAATCTTATTTCCACCGTCAATCAGGATTTCTTGGGTGATGACTTCAAAAGTCAAGGATCGCATGTTCCTTATAATGTTGCTGACTTTTCAACACAGGTACAATATGCAAGTCATGTAGCTCTTTTACGTTTCTGCCTGATGATGATGTCTCATGGTGCTTTAGATAATAATATGTAACATAATTGGATGGTTTTTGTTGGCAAATAATGGTCTTTTCCTGGAAGTTATCTTGTTTGCATGCATCTTAAAGTCTTTTGGGCCCTGTTTAGTTGAAGAAAAATGTTATCGTGTTTTTATTTTCTAAATTTATTTATATTTATTTATACAAATACATGTAGTTTTTTCAAATGAAAATTGTGGTATGAGTATGAAAGAATTAAAGTTCTTTCAAATTTGTGTCATATTTTTATCATATCAAACAT